ACCCCACCCCACCCCACCCCACCCCACCCCAAAACCCATCCACCACTAATAGTCACCACCAATCGTCGGCAACCACCCTTTCACCATTTACAGAAAATAATCTTACACAAGACTAAGAAAATTATAGCGGTGGGTGGCTATAGGTGAACCACCACTACCTCCCATCGACGCTATTCCATAGCTAGAACTCTTCAACTGAATCATTTGGACCTTTCTTGAATTGCCTTTCTGCCTCCGACTGCGTTCACCTACTGGAAATCGTATCTGCTTTCCACGGTGATGTTTTGTCGCCTTTCCTTTTTAGGATGCTCTCTTCCATCCTTCGTTGCCTCCGCAACCCCGACTTCGCTTGTATCAACGCGATAACCTCCATCACCACACACGTCACAAAATCTCGGCCATTTTCAAGCCCCTTGTAGGTACTATTTTGGATGAGTAAGACCAGAGCTCGCAGATCGATGCTTCGCTCTGCCTAGCTATCGCAACGGAGGAGGTGCAGGAACCAACACGATGGAGCAAAAAAGCTGTCGCAAAGGCTGCCGAAAGCATTGTGAGCATTGGTGCTTGTTCTTTGATGTAATAAGTGAGAGTTGTAAGGGAGAAAATGAATCGGGCTAGAGAGATTTGGAGAGATGTTCCAGCAGGAGGTGGGGTATGGGGTGGGTGTAGAAAGGAGAAGATGAACAGTAATGGCCTTTGTTTTTTTGTTTTTCTTTTCTTTTTAATTTTAATTCAAAATTACAATTTTACCCCTTCTAAAATTGGTCAAAGTCAATTATTGGGTCAACTAACGGTCAAACTAACAGAAACCATCCATTTGGACCTCAGTTGCACATTTTTTAAAGTTTTGGTACTCACGGTGGCACAAGTGAAAGGTTTGAGCAAAGTCTGCTAATAAACGAAATGTTTGATACCTTGGCTGCAATTTTCCCTTAATTAAATGTCATGGTGGATGCTTTTGTCCATTGCACCTATAGTTGAAGTTATTATGCTGATTTCAGGAAATCAAGGAAGATAAAGTAATTAGTTCTAAATGTCTAAATCAAATAGTAATCATTGTATATTATGCAAATGATGAATGTTATAGTAACAATCTTATAGTCTTATGGTAGTTAACATACACACATTAAAATTATATTATTCTCTAATAAATTTTAAAAGATATCTTATGGAAGGATTAGTATTGCTCTTAATCACAAGCTAAACAATAATCTCGTAAACCAATAGTTGCTAATTGATTCAATTTTCGAATCCATTCGATTTCTAAAAAGATTACCCCTTTTTAGCTACACTATGAGTGAAAGGGAAAATTCAATTCCTAATTTCTTGTAATTCAAGCCTCGATACAGAAAAAAGAGTTGGGGGGCATTACTAAATTTGAGACTATTGAATCAAATTACTACATGGATGAACCTAATCCAGAGATTCTCATCAATGTTTGTGCTACTCACGCCGACATTCTCGCTTCCGATTCGTCCATCGCTGCTCGCGGGGGGCTTCATTCTAAGATGGATCGCTTCCCTACCGATGTTTATGATTTCTGTATCATAAGAGTATCGTACAATGTCACATCAGTTGTCGTTGCATTTTATTTTTTCCCCGATTTACAATTTGCAGTCCAAAAGAAGGTAAAGCAAAAATTTAAGATATCAGAAACAGATAGATGAATGTAGAAGTGATTGGCTGCTTGAGAGTGATAGAGTCCTTCCAATACATGGGAGGAGCCAGGGCTAGACTAAAATATCTTTTATGCTGGGCAGATATGTAAAAAAAAAAATTCCACATAAATTTTTTGTTTTACATTATAAAAAAATAATAAAATTGCAGAGGAAAAAATGAATGGGTGGCCCTAAATCCCCCCAGTCCAATATAATATTTTGCCTTTCAGAAGTATAAAAGCTTTGCATGGCTGTACATATTATTATTTATCAGAAGTTTTTCCATTCTCTGCCATAGAACTTGTTACAGCACCTTATAATATGACCTTCAGTTGCTGTAAACATTCATTTAGTTGTACTCTTGTCATTTACTAAATTGCTTATTTGATAAAGCGTTGCTAAAATTTTATCAAAAACTTCAATTTAAGCATATATGCCACAAGACCCACAACTTTTCAACAACACGTTTGATCAACTTTTAAATTTTTTTAATTAATTTTTTATTTTTATAAAGAGCTTTGTTACACGGGTCCAAATTACCTTTTGTGTTATGCCATGGTTGTCACTATAACTGTGATGGCTCTCTATTTTTTTGGCACAGGCTTAAGTATGGCATTCCATGTTTGTGGAATTGCATGGAGCTACCACTAGTAGTATTATAATGCTTTCACTCTTGAACATATGGATTGGTAGATTTGCTTTTGCGATTTAAAATTGGCATCTTTGGTAACTGATTTGCGGCTTACTATTTGGATTGTGATTTGTTACATTTGATATAGCCCCTATTTGGGCTCCATTATTCCACATTTTAATGAGAGAAATAGTAATTTTAAAAAAAATGTGTGGTTAAAAAAGAAAGAATTTTTTTTTATGTTTATGTGTAATATTATTTTATTGAAAATGTGTGATTGATAAGAAGAGAGAAAAATGAATTTTAAAACAGGGCATAATACCAGAGACCAATGATGCACTCGTGCGCATTTCACCTGCTTTAAAATATATTCTTTTCTTATTTTCCTGCTGGTCGCACAACCGAACTCTAATTATATATACTCACTGGTTTCTATAATTTGTCATGGAACCATCCAAGCCAGACGTCTGTTAGGTTTTGTTGTGTTGTCGTTTCTTTGATTTAGTTCATATTTCATTTACATTAACTACCACAGACACTACGTTGTAGTTCTTTTAGGGCAATCCTTTTGTCATCAATTCCTTCATTATTATGTCGCTTTGGCTTAATTTGTAGGATTGCCGATGCAGAAGAAAACTTGGGTGAAAGTGAAGTTCGGGAAGCTCACTTGGCGAAATCCTTGTTTTTCATTAGAATTGGTGACAAGGTACAGAAATGTCCTTTGCCGTCTTGCTTGTGTTAATTTGATCTAATTTGTCCACCCTTCTTGTAAAATCCAGGAAAAGGCACTGGAACAACTCAAGTTAACAGAAAGTAAGACTGTTGCAGTTGGACAAAAGATGGACTTGGTTTTCTACACGTTACAGATTGGTTTCTTCCACATGGACTTCGATCTTATCTCTAAAAGCATTGATAAAGCAAAGAAGTAAGGATCAACATAGATTATTATCTTAGATAAAAAGCTTCCTTGTTTCATTTGATTTTAGCCTTTGATTTTGACTGTTGGCAAGACAGCTTGTTTGAGGAGGGTGGTGACTGGGAGAGGAAGAACCGTTTGAAGGTGTATGAAGGACTATATTGCATGTCCACCCGTAACTTCAAGACAGCAGCTGATCTTTTCCTTGATTCTATCTCAACTTTCACAACTTATGAGATATTTCCCTATGACACCTTCATATTTTACACGGTCCTTACTAGCATTATATCCTTGGATAGAGTTTCCCTGAAACAAAAGGTATCCATATTTTCTTTAAATGTTCTCCAAAATGGTATCCCTGGAATTTAGTTATTATGGTCTCCATCTGTGTGTGTGTGCATGCGCTTAAACAAACAGCATTTCACTGTGTTTATGTGAGTGATTGTTCTTAAACAAGCGGCATTTCTCACTTATGGTGGTTGTAATATGTGGCAGGTTGTGGATGCTCCTGAGATCCTGACTGTCATTGGCAAAGTCCCATATTTATCGGAGTTTTTGAACTCTCTATATGAATGCCAGTATAAATCATTTTTTTCAGCTTTTGGTAAGTATCTTTTTTACTAAACCAAATCTTGGGGATAATGTTATTGCATGACCATCAGACAAAAAAGAAAGAACACGAAGTAACTTCATTCAATAAGAAGAAATTTTCCCCCATAAGATAACTCAGATAAGCTAGAGCATTATTCCACATTCTGTAGACATGCGGGTGAACCAGAGATCTGAAAAAGAGGCTAGTACATGAATCCTTGTGCTGCTATTTTCACCACATGGTTTGACATTATTTTTATTCTTAACTTTAGGAAAAAAAAGAAAAAAAGAAAAAAGGATGCTCATATTTGAACCTGTTTTACAATTTACTGGTATACAATTTGCTTCAATTGCACTTCTATTTGACTTTTAGCTGGCCTGACGGAGCACATCAAGTTGGACCGCTATTTGCATCCCCACTTCCGATATTACATGAGGGAGGTCAGAACTGTTGTTTATTCCCAGTTCTTGGAAGCATACAAGAGTGTAACAATTGAGGCTATGGCTAAAGCGTTTGGGGTGACAGTAGATTTCATCGATTTGTAAGTTGTTTCATTTTATTCTGATGCTCTTGACGAACACTAGATTAGGAGTATGTTCGGCAAAGGTTTTAAGTGCTTATAAAGCTCAGTGTCCTATAGGATGTGTGACTAATAAGCGGGTAGAAAAAAGTTATGCTTTGGCAAGACGTATGTGATTGATCATTTCCTTCATATACAGGGAGCTGTCTCGTTTCATTGCAGCGGGGAAGTTACACTGCAAGATAGATAAAGTTGCAGGTGTGTTGGAAACTAATCGTCCCGATGCAAAGAATGCCCTTTACCAAGCAACGATCAAGCAAGGCGATTTCTTGTTGAACCGTATTCAGAAGTTGTCCCGTGTGATTGATCTTTGAAGTTGGTAGAAAGGGTTTTTCCTTTAAGGTGATGGAATTTAAAAAAATCTAGACTTTGATGTTCTTTGTTGCTTTATTCAGACATTGAGTTTTCAAAAACATTTTACTTTTGCCATTTTCTGAAATGAGTTGCTAGGCATGTTTTCGCAAGTATGATAACGTAATTTAAGTGTCTGTTTGACACTTTTTAAAATTTTAAATTGTTTGCCACAGTATCGTTTTTCATCACACATTAATACAATAAAATATTAGACACATGAATTAATAAAGTTTTTTTATTTTATTTTACCACACATTGTCCAGATAAATACTATTTACAACTCTTAAAAATAATGGATGACAAATAGGGCGTAAATTTGTTTGCAATTAAGTATTGATGATATGACAATTAATGAAAGAGGGCTATCGTACTTAATTATTTTACTGATGTGAAATAATTTCTTGGAAATAATGACTGGCGACTGCTGTCATTCATTACTGCTCGAGTGACGAAAATGTTTGGAATTACTGAATGAAAATATTTGGGTGTACAGAACATTTTTCAGAGATTGTGTGCAGAATAGTGATAAGTGTGTGTTTTCCATGTTGTATAAAAAATGTCAAAAATGTGTGGGTCTCAGAATTGTGAGTTTTATGTATGTATTTTGGCAAAAATCTTTCTGTACGTGTAGACGGGTTGTAATAATTATCGATGGTTAATCATACTTAACCCTTGTTTGAGCCCCATTTTTGGGGAAAAAATGAATTTCTGAATAGTGTATTGATGGGAAATGTGTGGTTAAAAAATAAAGAAAAATTTTAAATTTACGTGTAATATTATTTTATTGAAAAATGTGTGGTTGAAATAGTGTAGAAAAATGCATTTTTTTCCCAAACAATGGGGGTATCAAACAAGGGCTTAGTGTTTGTTTGTTACAGATTAAAAATCAATTAAAATCAATTTTTTGACCGTTATTTCACTATTTTAGCTATTATTTTTTAATTCTTCTCTCAAACGTATGTCCAACTTTATTTCCAATGGTCAAAAAATCAATTATCAAAATTCCTACAAAATAAGTTTTTAATGTCTTGTAGGGATTAAAATCATTTATTATTTATTTATTTATTTATTTATTTTGTAAAATTTGATAGAAGATGAAATGTGGGATTGAAAACTATTATAATCATATTTTATAAATTTTTAATCTTCAAAATTCACCTTCCACGGGTATTTAAATCAAGCCCTTTTAAAAAATATATATTTTGAATAGTGACTTGTGGAAGAATGTGTGATTAAAAATAAGAATTTTTTTTATATTTATATATAGAATATTTTATTGTGTGAATATGTGTTTAAAAATAAATACGTAGAAAAATGAGTTTTCAAATAATGATAGTCAAACATGAGTTAAAATTTAAGAATTTAAAAATTGTGAGTTTTAAGAATGTGCGGATAATATAACATCGTGATTATAGGTATTATGAGATGTGTAGATAAAATATGTCTAATCAGCTTCAATTATATTTTCCATAGCATTAAACCAATTTTTAATGCATTCATACGAAATTTAGCCCCTATTTATTTCCCATTTTCTCCACATTTTAGAAAAATTTTGCCCGTTTAAATCGTTGGTGGGCCCTTGTGTAGCCCTTTTTTTCACTCAACAGCATGGAAATTGACCGAATTGCCCCCCCTTGAACTTTGAAAAGAATGCAAAAAAAGGGTAAATATGTAATTCAGCTTTTACTGGACATTAAATACGGCTGCATTTTGACAGTGACACAGTGCAAATTCTTCTACAAATGAAGATGGAAATGGCTATCAAACACAGTCTTAATAAAGAATAAGTTATAATTCTCTTCCTTTCCTTATACTTTACGCTAACCTTTCCTTTCAAGCAACCCTCCATCCAAATCAGGTTAAATCTAGACTTGTACTACTTTTGGACTGTACTGATAATGAAATTGTAGTGACAACGAAAGTGTAGCTAATAACTGTAATTTAGGTAACCATACTTTAAACCATGTTTGATTGATGGTCATTTTTTGAAAAAAATAAATTTTTAAATAATTTTTTTTGAGACGTGTGATTAATAAATATAAAAAAATTTAATTTACGTGTAAAATATTTTATTCCATAAACGTATAATTAAAAATGAGTATGAAAATCAAAGAATTATTATTCGAAATATGATTTGAATTCAATAACAACCCTTCTACACGTACAGAAGGATTTTTGCCAGAATATATATAGAAAATTCAAAGTTCTGGGGTCCACACACATTTTTGACATTTTTTATACAACATGGGACCCACACACTTGTATCTATTATGTACATAGTCTATGAAAAATTTTCTGTACACCCAGATTTTTTCTAATTATTATTTAAGTTTGGCCAAACCTTCACTTGGTTTTTAGCTTTTTTTTTTTTTGCCAGACAAAAAATATCTTCAAATATATATATATAGGCATATTTTGGTATTCATTTTTTCAAAATGTATTTTTCTCTCCCTTCTCTTCAACTACACATTCTTTATTAAAAAAATATTACATATAAATAAAATTTTTTTCTAATTTTTCAACCACACAATTCCATCAATTTACTATTCAAAAATACATTTTTACATAAAAATATCTCCCCCCCCCCCCCCCCACACACACACACATATATATATATATATATATATATTTTTTTTTTTTTAATTTACATTCTTAAAAAAAATAATTCAATTTTCACAAATTTAATAAAGAAAATAAAAATCAAACAAGGCCTTACTATTTATTGCCATCATCAATAAATCATGTATCCATTTTTTCTTGAAGCAATCCTTCAATTCAGAAAAATTTCTGCCCAATTCGTACATGGGGGTGTAACTATGTATACCGTACCCCTCGTACACCCTGTAACGGGCCAACTCTACACTTTCTCAGCCACAAATCGTTAAAAGAGATATTCAGATGGATTAGTGATAAATTCTAAGCCATGCATGATAACTTCGTCTGTTCGAGCGATTCCCAGTTGTTCTGCATAATTCTAACATAAAACTTGCTCAAAATTGAACACACGAAAAGGGGGAAATTGAAACGCCATGCTTCCTTCTATTGATCTCAAAGAATTTCAAGAAAAATTATCTACAGGGTTTAGACCCTTTCAGCGTTCATTTCAGTTCTGGGTTCGAGCAGTTGATATCTACACTGGTTACAAGGTGTGTACATGGATATTGTTAAATGCGTATCACTACATGTTTATAAGAAATTGACCGTGATTTGGTGATTTCTAGGTGTTTCAACTTAAAGTGAACTTTGAGAAGGATGCGGCGAAGAGGGAAACAATGTGGGAGAAGCAGCACGAATTTGCGGCTGATAAGATTTATAACATGTGTACTGATCTTGGTGGGTTCTTCCTCAAGGTATTAATTCAATTAATTCCCTTTTATTTACTTCAATTCAAGTTATTTTTTCTGAATTCATAATGGGGTTTTTGTTTTTGTTTCCTTTTAGTTTTTTATGGTACCCCCAGTTGGAAAAATTCGATGGATTTTTTCATTTGATTGAAATGATGTTCTGTAAATTTACAGATTAATAGAATTAGCAAATTTGGATTCGTAAGAGTATTTGACATTTAATTTGTCTTATCAATGTTTTATGTTTGCAATGTTATTTGGATCTCATCAATGGGAATGGTGTAGGTCGCCCAAATTATCGGGAAACCTGATTTGGCCCCGGCCGCTTGGGTGAAAAGGCTAGTCACACTATGTGATCAAGCCCCTGCTACCCCATATAATGTTGTCAAGATTATTTTGGAGAAGGAGCTGGGTCGAAGTATTGATGAAATTTTTGAAAGAATAGATGTAGAACCCCTTGGTTCCGCATCAATTGCACAGGTATTTCTCTCATATGCACATATTCTACTATCTCTGAACTTGTTTACTAGAAATTGGTCTAAGTGAAAACTATTCACTTTTTTCTATATATTTCTTTTTAAATTGCAAATACAAACTGAATTTGTTATCTCGGACGAATGGTTTTAATTTGTGATACAATTGTAAAGTACACTCTTTTATACAAATTGCAAAAAGAGAACTAAGAAAATTCTAAGTATCTTCTGCTTCAGTTTTTTGCTTTTCAGGATGAGCCATTGAGGTAATGGTGTCTGTAGTTTTGCAACTCCATCTGATGCTAAACCTATCTCCAAAGAGATTGCAGTTAAAAATGAGACTTAAATCTTAGAGTTAAAATTCATCTTGAAAATGATTTAAAAGCT